TACGTGTGTTTTCCTGGTTCCCTTGTGTTGGATGAATAAAGTCTCATTGTTCCTCGCTCCCTCACAGTAGCAAACGTGACAGTATACATGTGCATTTGTTGCTGCCGTAAAGTAAATCTGCCCTGTTTGTTAAATTTCGTACCCCCCTTCACCAAAGTTGCTTGAAGGAAAGAAACAAAAGCCATTCGCCTTATTATAAGTCAGCGAAAGGTGACTCAGAATGATTTTTAAACTAAACTTTCAAGGTAAAAAACTTGCATACAGTTACTTTACATCAGAAATGTGAAGATTATCATTTCATAAAAGCAATTGCATTATTTTATTGAAATGTGTATTATTCGCTCTCTATTAAGTTGCTCTCATCATTTACTGTGGTTTTAAATTTTTAGGGATTACATGGTCATGGTGAAGAAGTTGAAGAATTGGATTGAGCTTTACACTGAAAAGGTTAGTAAGTATTTGTATTTTTTTTTACCCCACACTTAAGTCATGTAAACATTTGTGTTGTTTATGTCTTTGGAACTATTAACTGTGAATATTTTAGTGTTTACAGTTTGGTCGCATTCAGTTCCTTTTGTAAGTGCCTCCTGCAGCGGTTCACTGAGCTTCCTTTAAAATGAAATTAATCAAATAAATTAATCACAGAGGCTCTACATGTAGCATACATTACTTAAAAAGTACTTAAAATTCACATTGCCTGTAGCAGCCCAACATGTGCTAAGTGTCACGGTTCAGGGTGCCTTCTCGGCTTCTCTTGCTGTCTGTGTTGTCCTTTCATTTTCGGCAGCTTGTGGTCTGGGCAATCAGTGCTGATCTTGCAGCGGGAGAGCACAGATCATGAGCTGACTCTCCCCACCTGTCACCCACTCCCATATATGTCTCTGCGTGAGTAGATTGTTTTGTCTTTGCTAGTGTTCTGTGGATGAGTGTGAGCATCATTTTCTTACCCTCTGTGCTTCAGGACTCATAGCACGGTGATCTGGCAGCTCGAGTGGTCCGCATTCTCTGCCGGCCAGCTCTGGAATCTCCGCTTACCTGAGCAGTATTTAATTATTGTTTGTTATTTTGTGGTGAGAATAAAGGATCTCTTTTCTCACAACTCATTTGAGTCCTCTATCTATCCCAGGCCGTGACACTAAGGTGTTTCTAATTGTACTCTGCAATTCCCTATGACGTGTATAAGTATATCATGAACATGAATTTGTCTCTAGCAAGGGTCTTGATCTGCACTCATCAAGTGATTTTTATGGGG